ATACAGATTAGGGGCAGATCCAGGACTTCTCTTTCCCCTTTCACCAGCTTAATAATTATATTTCTACGAAAATAACTTGACAATCATTGGTACGTGTGCCAGTCTGGTTGATTCATCGTCAGACATACAACCTTTAATTCAAAGGTGAAACCTTTACTGTACACTACATTGTACAAGATACCAAACACCCTGTATCTTTTGGACCCCACAAAAGCTGCATGGAACAAAGTTAATACGTCAGATATACTGTCAGCCCAACACATTCTGTAAAGATGTTGCAGAATCACAATAACACAGCACAGAGGTTGGACACAGTCAGCAGTGTTTAGTCTATCTTTGATGTGATCTGTGGAGCATCTGGTGCATGTAAAGCAACAAGCTAGCTTTAGCTTACCATCTTTTTTAGCCATGTGGACTGACAGACTGGGACAGCTGAGCTGGTTAAAACTTTGTCATCAGAGACACATTAACCACCTGCTGCTGCCGTGGACGGGTCTTTTCTTCACCTTGCGGCACAATCTGCAGAATGGTTCTGTAATTTTCCGGCAGCTCAGCTGACTCAACACGAACACACATAATCCTGCTGCCCAGAGACGTAGCTTTTTCTCTGAAGCCTGCATTTCCTGCAAATGTGCGAGCAAGCTGTGGAATCGTGGGAAATGTACCATTTATTGAGGGCAGAAGGGGAACGCATGAAAAGTGACGTTATCGCATGTTCACTAATGAATGCATGCTAATGTGAGCAATGTTTTTTGTCATTGGAAGAGGAGGGTCAGTGGAGAAGTAAAAGAAAAGACTGAAGACGGCTGAGCTTTGCCTTGACGTGAAACTTAATGACCTGACTCACAATCGTCCTTATTTTTATTTTAATTTTTCCCTATTCCAATAGATTTACCTGCCAGGGAGTAATTGAAGCTTTTTCTTAACCTGATGAAGGTTTTATTTATTCACTTGTGTCGTTCTTTCCTTTTTTTCATCTTCAAGAAGTGATTCTTCTTTCTGAAATAACAACTAACACATGCAGTTGCAGAGAGAAATACTACAATCCCTCTTCTCTGTCTCTGTATGTCATTTCCTCTCTGTGTGAGCTACTTTTTTTTGGGGTTCTCTGACCTGAGTTCATCTTGCTGATAAATCTCATCCAGTTTAAGAGACCACACAGAAAGGCTTGTATCTCATGGACTCACACATTATTTTGGAACATACCAAGACATCTGAGGATTTGGTTTCACAAGAAACACATGAACCTTTACTGCAAGAGTGGGACTGTGCCTCTTATATTAACAGATATATTAACAGATTTTGTGTTTTACATATCTGTTTACACAACAGATTATTTATGAACCTTGATGGACAACGTTTGCTTGTTCAGAGACAATGAACTAATCTGAGAAAAAACATTATTGAAACCCTCAGCCATTTTCAGCTGAGCATAAAACAAACACACATGATTTGATGACTACTCAAGCTTTCACTGGCAGGGGATTACTGTACCTTTTCCCAGTGGGTTGCTGGTTTGAAACCTCATTATATCACGTCTGATTATGGATTTAATCCTGAACCTGACATTGACGGGGTCCAGTGGACCGAGACAAGACATCCGCTGACTCAACAGGAGGGGCCTGGATCATGGCTCACTGAAGCTTCAGCTTGAAGCAATTGCTTTACGTCGTTCACCTGTCCAGATGATAGACAGCCATGATGGTGATTCATTAAATTAGCTTGACATTTTAGCAGGAAGATATGAGATTCTTTAATATCATGAAAGTGTTTTACCACATTTGGAACAAACACAATACAACTGTTGAACTGTTGATGCACAATGTGATGTCTCAGAAAACGATGATCATTTCTGCCTTAATGTTGGCCATGTGTGCAATAACGCTCAAACAGCAGGGGCTGAGAGCAATAGTCCTGAGAACTCTCCTGAGCCCTCGTGTCATTGACCACTGTGAGGCTGAGCCACCAAGAAAAAAACGGCACTCATTTTCAGAAACCCCCCAAAACAACAATTGTTTATATTCAATTGACAAAACCGTGTAGAGGTCGAAGTTACTATGACTCTTGTGCAGGAGCGAAGGATGAAATCAGGTGATGTTGTAAAGCTACAGTCTACAGAGGGAAGAGATTGTGTTGGACTGTAAGTTACGGTTTTAGTTTGCACGTTACAGCTGAATGTCATTGTGGTTTTATGACTGAGGTTTCACAAACTTTATGTTTTTCACATTTCTACCAGCAGCAGCAATTGTCAATCATTGGTGTCAATCACTGTGAAATCTTTTTGCAGAAAGTAAATTGCATTACTGTCCTGGTGCCTCAGGCAACTCTTCATCCAGAGGTCCCCCTCCAGCACATGAATCAGAATTTCCAATAATCTGCAAAATGAATCTTTGGATATGAATCGGAAAAAAAGAGTTCCATTCATTAGTTTTAATCTGACTATTAATACCGTAACACTTTTTCTTGGCCTGAGTGGAGTCCATTAAAGCCATTTAACAGTCGGTGTCAGCTCAGCATGCAGGCACCTCCAGCAGCAGGTCACACTAGTTCAGTTAGCTCAGTAGGACACTGTGACCCACATTCTGTCTCTCTGTCTTTCTCATTGCCTGCGTATCTGTTTTGTTTTAGCCTACAGTATATCTGTGTCAGCCCCTCTCACAGTCCTTATAGTAATTTATGCACAAACACATGCATACACGCAACCACTCAATCTAACATTTTTCTCATGCTCCTTGTAAATAATCCTCATTTCCTAAAGTTTTACTATCATCTTAAATCAATCCCGCAACTCAAACTATCCACAACGTGCCCATCTGTTGGACTGTTAACCCAGCAGATGCAGTGATCCTTAGGGTGGTAAATCTGCCAATATGTCTAATGTTATATACGTCTGTCTCAACTCGTCCTGCATATCCAGCCACTAGCGTGAAATCAAGAGGAGTCTTCTTCATGTTGGGAGGAACAATTCTCAGCTTTGTGAAAGATGTTTTCTTTTAAGTTTTTATGTTGGAATACGTTACTGCAGAACTTCCAGAAACACACAATTTACCTAAATTCAAGAAGTTTTTCCAAATCACCTTTAATTAATTGAGATTTTAAATCAATCCTAATAAAACAATTTAAACATTTCAGTTAAAAAATAGCAATCACTTTCTAGCTTTCAGTTTGCGTGTTGTGATATACAGTATGCAACAAGCAATGATCGCAATTTGTCCGAGAGATGGAAACGAGTGGTGAGGTTTTTATCTCCGAGAGATGGAAAGAGGTTAAATGCAATTCTTTTTTCTCATTGATCAAGATATTGAAACACTATAATAAAATTGGTTAAAACTGGTAATAAACTGGTTTGTTGATGATCATTACTTGTAAACTGTGGATACCTTCATTACAGTTTGGGAGATAAAGGCGTATCAAGGGTTATTTTCTTCCAGGCTACTTCACCTTATCTTCAGTTATGGGGGAGTGTAAATAATTCTAAGACTCCAATATTCCTTTAGATGTATCATACTTGACATAGGGCTTAAATTTTATTTATTACTGTCTTAAAAATTCTTAAATCTAACTCATTGAAATCTTCAGATTATTAGTATTATGATGCTGTTATCATTATTCCCACTGATAGTTCCTGTGCAATGTTCTGCGAAGATTGGAAGCGGAGGTTAAACAACGTCTGCCGTTTTGGATATATTAAATTTCAGCTTGTTCATACTTTCCAAGAAGTGATTGTTGCAACACTGCAGAGCTCCTCCACCTCTTCCTTTGTCACTCATTTGCAAAGAGAGCAGAGAGATCTTGCAAAAGTCCAGCTGTGAAGACAAATTCCAGAGCTTCCAGGAAAATGCTATCAGACAGCGTTAGCCCAAATAACATTGTTGATTAATCATTTACTAACAGGCTCTGACGTATGAGAGACATCCAAAGGCCAAGGCATCATTACTCCCGCCACACACACACACACACACGCAGTGGGAATAGAACTCCAGCATTCATGCTCACATGCACAAAAACACTACTTCAGTGTATGCATGCCGCTCTCAGGCTCCTTTGGCCGTTTACCTGACTGCAGCTCACAGACCAAGTTTGGTTTGTAATTCAAGCCTCCTCTCCCGAGCGAACGTTTGACAAGCAAAGCTGCAGAAGGCGACAGAGACGGAGAGCGAGACGTGGACGAAAACCTGATTGTTAGGCATTTTTCCTTTTTTCTCCCAGTGAGAACTTAACCTCCGCCAGATAAACGGTGATTAATTTAACTGATCAGAACCACATGGTTAAACTGCTGCGAGGGCCTGATGAGATGTGAGTGTAAGGGCCAGATACACTCTGTCTAATTCATTACTTTAAGTACATGTAGATTCATTGCCTCAGTGACATCAATGGATCAAAGCAATATCAGCAGATTGGATTACCCAACTTACAGTAATGATGATTGCTTTGTACAGCGAGCGCAGCGAAAGGCCGGGGAAGATAAAAACTGAGAATTGGATATCTCTCTCTCAGTAATCCGATGACAACATTATTTTCATGCTGGTGTCTCCCTCATTACAGTAAACCAGAACACATGTACGCGGTGTCGTTTGTTTGCTCTTGTAATTAAAGATCTGTCACTTAGAGACACTTGGGTCTGCCCGGGCCAAGACGCACACAAAGAGAGAGACGTCTGTTCTATAATAAAACCAAATGAATCATTGTAATTATTGTAAGAAGGATGCTGGGAGCGAATACCTCACAGGCCAACATTATAGAGTCATGTGGGCACCAGCATCACTTTAGTGAAGTCTGCAGGACATCGTGGACTCATTCGGACACTAATTATCCCCCATAGCTATGATCTGCGCTCCAAGAAAGTCTCTAGATATTTGAAGACATACCTGCGAGCACATTACACGAGACAAATAGTTTAAACAGTGCTGAAATAGTTTTTCTAAAATGGAAAAAGACACATAAGTGTTGCGGGCCAAGTTGATTCAGCTACAAATGATATATTCATTTTCATTTTTCAGCGCTGCGGTCAGGTAAAAATCCCTCAACGCCACTGCTGCAAAACCATCTGTCCAGGAGGAGAGTAATCAGTGTCAGGTGAAATAACATGGATGGACCATGAATCAGTGGAAAACGTCTAATGTTGATTACAAATCTGTGTTGGAAATCTGAAGCAATGCCTTGGACGGCTCTCGTGAAGACAGCCTTGAAGTCGGTTCATAGAAAGCGCTGTTTTCAGGATTTGTATTCAAATGTGCAACTGTATTCACTGATGTGACTTGGGTTTTAATATTTCAGAAGATTTTTGTCAGCATGGCAGTGAAAAGGTCTGACGCCTGGAGTTGTTTGAGCCAAAGTATGTGCCCTCACTGTCCATTTATGTAGAGCACAATGGGGTTCATGTTTTCTTCATGGACATAAATTAAACTTGTAATTTGTTTTACATAAATTTAAATGTAAGTTTTGTTATTCTTACAAAATCGAGTGGCTGTGATTTGAAGGTTGTAAATGCTGAGAGAATCATCCCAATGACAGTCGAGAACTTCACAGACTAAATCATCGACATGAATAAACAAGCAAATTGCCAGTAATTCAAATATTGGTCCTAAGTACAGTTCTTGAGTAAATGCATTTACTATGTTTTTATTTCACTTGGGTTTACACAGGATTCTCAACCTATTGACTTATATTTCCTTTCAACTCTCAATTTATTAATAGAATTATTTTATTACAAAATTCTGTTTCGGGTTATGGACTAATCTGTAATTTTTCTTTTCTTTTTTTTGCATCTGTTTTTCTCTTTGGAGTATTTTATTACAAGCCATTATTTTTCATCAGGCTGCTTCTGACATAAAATCAATATCAACAGTGCTGAGCATGAACCTCTGATTTGTATGAGTGAAATTCACTCATTATTTGATTTGTTCAGAGATTTTTGTGACCATTCTGAAAGCTGTTATACGTTGAAAAGGAAACATGCCTTTGTGTCTTGTAGTAAATGTGAGGTTTCCAGCAGACAGCACTGAGTATCAGAGAATGTGAATCTGTCTCCTCGGGCTCGGGAGTGTTTAGTCTGAGAGCTCCACTCCACCATCTGCTTTACAGCTGCCTGTTAGAGGGGCTAATTAGAACAATGGTAATGTCCAATCATCTATGCTACATTAAGCTAACATCTAATGCAGCCAATCAGGAAGTCAGGGAGAATGAGGGCCCAGCGCTCATGAGAGGAGCCGTTAATATCAAAGAGGTGAAGGTTTATAACAGTTTGGTCACTAATGTTTATCTTCTAACCAGCAGGAAGGAAGATGGGAGCAGGGCTCACACTCACACACTCACACACACAGACACCGACTCTGGATTTAAAATGTATCCTGTATCCAGGTTGTGTCTCGATACGATTTTAACCTGAATACATTTACACCTGGTGTTAATATGTGTCTCCAGTGCTGTGGTCCGACTGAGATGTGATCGCTTTGCCCCGCTCACGTCACTCCTCTCATTTGAGTAGGTCCGAAAGAAACACAAAGGAGAAAGAAACTAGAAGAAGAAAAAAGGGAGATAGTCTCCATCAGTGCGATGTTGTTGCTTTTCCATTGGTCTCGTCTTCACTCCATCCACAGAGGTCTTGAATAACTGAGGGCAAATCTGCTTTGTGTCTCTACTGGCCAACTACTGATAGTTTGAACAGTTGCAACCAGTTATGTATTTTCACTGGCAAAGTGTGGATTGACAGCTCACTACATTTGCACTTCTCTTCAGTGTCGTCTCAGTGCATCCCTGACCCCTCTGAAGGTGGTCTGGTGGTCCCCAGTGAACCTTGGCTGCATTTACACCTTCACTTTCATGTGGTTTAGCAATTCAATTCAACAGAAGACGCTTTATTCAGATTGTTTAATGTGGGATACTCTCATTTCACATGTCTGAGGTTGTTCAAGTCTCTCCAGTCAAAGTTTAAACTGCTCAGATGATGATTGGTTTGATTACTTAAACAAACACTTACTGATAGAAGCTGATACAGATTAAAGTAGATGCCAGTATCTGATGAGACTCCCAACTTGAAAAAACACCAGCAGGTATCATTTCCTTCGCGTTCATACTTTGCTCTGTTGTCATGCTAACATTTGCTAGTACAGCCCAGGCCGTGAAGGGATGTCATTATTTCCAAGGTTTTGGACAAAGTAGATTTTTGCCCTGATGGTGGAGCGAAATGAAAAGTTACTGGAAAGTTACTGCAGTTCATCTCGTGGGGGACGTAAATGTCTGTCCCAAGTTTCATAGTCATCAATCCGATGGTCATTGACATGGTGGTGTAAAATGAAAAGTTTGAGCATAACCACAGTCGCTCTGAGTCGTCCTGTGGTGTTTCGTTCAATGGGTTTTCCATGGAAAGTACACGATACAGTTTATTTCAGTCTGTACTAAAGTGGACGTTGCCATCTCAAGAGACACGCTATATTCAGATAGTTTGCACTATTGCTCTTGGATTCCTGTCACCTATTTATCAAAATAATAATCAATAATCTCAGTCGCAGCTTTTATAGTTGGTATCAATCTTTAATTTTTTTCTTCTTAGTTTCAGTACATTTCTGCTCCTGGATTAAACCATCTCTCACTTTACAGCTTCTCATTGTTGTTGCTTCCATCTCTGACTGAAAACTTCTCAACTTCTCTCAACCAGTTTCTTTGTAAACCTCGAACCTCAACACTATAGTAACTAGTTATTCTTTCCTTTCCCAGCTTTCCCCCTGAACTCCTGACATCAGTTACTGTATCGTTCCTCCCTCCTCCTCCTCCTCCTCCTCCTCCTCTTCTTCTTCATCCTCTCATGCCCCTCAGCCCTGACACCAGCTCCACTTTGAAGTCCTCTTTTAAGAGCACAATTAACCCCCTCCTCCAGACACTGCACTCACTTCTCACCTTTTTAATAAGGCGCTCATAGACAAGTG